CGCGTCCCACATACAGCAACTAGAAGGATGTGCAGCTATGACACACAACTATCTACTGGGGCTTTGGGGGGAAAAAATAAATAAATAAAATCTTTAAAATACAGAAAGCTGGAGGCACGCCAGAAGGCCACTGATGCTATACATCAAGCCCAGAATATGGAAAGCTATTCCTCCACAAGGTGGCACGCCCAGCACAGACTGTGTGGGCTCTTTGTCTCCCAGTAAGGAGACATTGCACATGACTGTCTTTCCTTTAAATTGAAATCAATTTTTGCTATGTATGGAATTCTAAAGTGACAATTCTTCCTCTCAGTACATTGATATATTATTGCACACTCTTTTTGGCTTCCATTATTGCTGCTAAAAAGTTAGGTGTGAATCTACTCATCATTCATTTGAAGATGATCAGTCTTATCTCTCTGGCTGCTTTTAAGATTTTTTCTCTTTGTCTTTGGAGTTCTGAAGTTTCGCCATGATTTGTCTGTGGGTGGATTTCTTTATTATTGTCTTGTTAAGGATTCATTAGGCTTTCTGGATCTGAGGATTGGTGTCTTTCCCCAGTTCTGATAGATTCTCAGCCATTATCTTTTATAATATTGCCTCCACTCTTCTCTATTGCCTCTTTTGGGTACTCACATAAAACGTTTGTTAGACATTCTTATTCTATTTTCCATGTTTTTGAGACTTTCTTACTCTGTATTCCATGTCTTTTTATCTCTCTTTTGTATTTTCCATGTCTTTGTTTCTGTGGACTGCATTTTAACTGATTTTTTCAGTTAAATATAATTTCAAGGTGATTGATTTTCTCCTTAGCTATAGTCTTAACCGAGTTGTAATTTTCATTTACTATATTTTTAATTTATAGAAATTGTATGGTTCTTTTTCAAATCTTCTTGGTCATTCTTTATAGTCTTCTCCCCTCCAATATGTGTTTTTTCAAACACCCCCAAACAATTCTCCAATTCTCTGCAGACACTGACTAGGTGTCCTACAAATTTAATTCAATTCTGACATTATCCTCCTGGAGATAGCGTCAGATCCCACAGGCTAAGGGCTCAGTCCCACAAGACTGCCCTGACTTCAGATGCTAATTGCAAATCCAGATTGTCACCTGTGCTTCTGACCAACCAGCTATAAATCAGAGGTTCTCACAAACCCCTCCTTAGGTTTAATTAATTTGCTAGAGCTGCTCATAGAACTCAGGAAACTGGTTTGCTCACTAGACTAATGGTTTATTACAAAGGATATTGAAGGATACAAATGAGCAGTCAGATGAAGTGATACATAAGGCAAGGTCTGGAAGGGTCCTGAACACAGGAGCTCCTGTCCCCAGGGAGTTTGGGGTATGCCATTCTCCCAGAATGTAGATGCAGTCTGGTTCACCAACCTGGAAGCTCTCTGAATCCCATTCTTTTTGGTTTTTTGGAGGCTTAGTTACACAGGCATGAATCATTAAATCATTGGCCATTGGTGATTGAGTTCCATCCCCAGCCCTTCTCTCCTCCCTGGAGGTCTAGAGATGGAGCTGAAAGTTCCAACCCTCTAATCACCTGATTGGTTCCCTTGGCAATCTGCTCCCATCATTAGGGGCTTTCCAAAAATCCTCTCATTAACATAAACATGTTTCAACTTATGTGTTGAAAGGGGCTTGTTATAAATAGCAAAAGACACCTTTATCACTCTCATCACTTAACGGAATTCCAAGGGCTTTCAGGAGCTCTGTGCTAGAAATGGGAATGAGGACCAAATATATATTTCTTATTATAAATCACAATATCAAACCCCACTGCTTATATTGCTTAAGTTTCTATTTTATTTCTTCAAATAATCTATGGTTAATATTCTGTTTCTGTAAATTCCAATAGCTAAAGTCAGCATGGGTTAGATATTTAAAATTTTGCTGACTGAATTTCTGCTTGTTTTCAATCATGATGTCCTGTTTCCTTATGTTTTAAGATTTTTTAAAAAATGTTATTTCTCTTGCTTTCATTTTTTTAAATTAATAGACTTTTTTCCTTTTTTACCAGTTTTATATTTACAGAAAAATCAACTGGAAAGTACAGACAGTTAGTTCCCATATCATTCTTCACCCCCTGCCCCAGTTTCCAGTATTTTTAAAATCTTGCATTAGTGTGGTATATTTGCTATAATTAATGAGCCAATATTGACACATTATTATTAACTAAATTCCTTAGTTTACACTAGGGTTCACCCTTTGTCCTCTACATTCTATGAGTTTTAACAAATGTATACTGACACGGGTGCATCATTACAGTATCATACAGAATAGTTTCACTGACCTAAAATTCCTTGTGCTCTATCTATTAACCCCTCTCTCCCTCCCCAAAGGCCCTGGCAGCCGTTGATCTTTTTACTGTCTCCTTAATTTTACCTTTTCCAGAATGTCATATAGTTGGAATCATACACTACCTAGCCTTTTCTGATTGGCTTCTTTCACCTAGCAATATGTATTTAAGGTTCCTCCATGTTTTTTCATGGCTTGATAGCTCATTTCTTTTTAGTGCTGAATAATATTCCATTGTCTAGATGTACCACAGTTTGTTTATACATTCACCTGCCAAAGGACATACTGGTTGCTTCCAAGTTTTGGGAGTTATGAATAAACTGCTATAAACATCCATGTGTAGGTTTTTTTGTGGACATAATTTTTCAACTCATTTGGGTAAATACCAAGGAGCACAATTGCTAGAGTGTATGGTAAGAGCATGTTTAGTTTTGTAAGAAACTGCCAAACTGTTTTCCAAAGTGGCTGTACCTTTTTCCATTCCCACCAGCAATTAATGAGAATTGATATTGTTATACAACCTTGCCAGTGTTTTGGATTTTAGCCATTCTAGCAGATGTGTAATGGTATTTCATTGTTGTTTTAATTTGCAATTCCCTAATGACATAAAATGTTTAGCATCTTTTCATATGTTTATTTGCCATATGTATATCTTCTTTAATAGGGTGTCTGTTCAAATCTTTTGCCCATTTTTAAATTGGGTTGTTGGTGTTCTTATTGTTGAGTTTTAAGGGTTCTTTTTATATTTTGGATAACAGTCCTTCATCAGATATATGTTTTGCAAATATTTTCTCCCAGTCTATGACCTGTCTTTCATTCTCATAACAATATCATTTGGAGAGCAGAAGTTTTAAATTTTAATGAAGTCCAACTTATCAAATTTTTCTTTCATGGATTGTGCTTTTGGAGTCGTATCTGAAAAGTATCACTAAACCCAAGGTCACCTAGATGTTTTCCTATGTTATCTTCAAGGAGTTTTATAGTTTTGCATTATACATTCACGTCAGTGATCCATTTTGAGTTAATTTTTGTGAAACGTGTAGGATCTGTGTCTAGATTCCTGTTTTTGTATGTGGATATCCAGTTTTTCCAACACCATTGTTGAAAAGACTATCTTTTAAACATTAGGGCCAGCCCCGTGGCTTAGTGGTTAAGTGCGCGCGCTCTGCTGCTGGCAACCCGGGTTCGGATCCCAGGCGTGCACCGGCGCACCACTTCTCTGGCCATGCTGAGGCAGCGTCCCACATACAGCAACTAGAAGGATGTGCAGCTATGACATGCAACTATCTGCTGGGGCTTTAGGGGGAAAATAAATAAATAAATAAAATTATAAACATTAAATTGCCTCTGCTCCTTTTTCAAAGATCAGTTGACCATAATTGTCTGGATCTATTTCTGGATTTTCTATTCTCTTCTATTGGCCTATTTGTCTATTTTTTCACCAAAATTGCACTGTCTTCATTACCATAGCTTTACAATAAGTCTTGAAGTCAGGTAGTATCAGTCCTCCAAATTTGTTCTTTTCCTTCAACACTGTGTTGACTATTCTGGGTTTTCGTCTTTCCATACAAACTTTAGAATCAGTTTGTCAATATCTGCAAAATAACTTGCTGGGATTTTAATTAGGATTGCATTGACTCTATAAATCAAGTTGGGAAGAACTGATATCTTGACAATATTGAGTCTTCCTATTTATTTGATCTTCTTTGATTTCTTTCATCAGTTTTGTAGTTTTCCTCATATAGGTCTTGTACATATTTTGTTAGATTTATACCTAAGTATTTCATTTTTTTTTGTCGTGACTATAAATGGTATTATGTCTTTAATGTCAAATTCCAATTGTTCATTGCTGGTTTATAGAAAGCAATTGACATTTGTATATTAACCTTGTATCCTGTAACCTTGTTATAACTGCTAACTAGTTCTAAGAGATTTTTGGTTGATTATTTTGGATTTTCTACATAGTCATATCATCTGCAAACAAAGACAGTTTTATGTCTTCTTTCCCAATCTGTATACCTTTTAGTTCCTTTTCTTGCCTTATTGCATTAGTAGGACTTCCAGTACAATTTTGAAAAGGAGTGTTAAGAGGGGACAGTCTTGCTTTGTTTTTGTTCTTAGTGGGAAAGCTTCTAGTTTCTCACCATTAAGTATGAAGTTAGTTGTCAGTTTTTTGTAGAACTTCTTTATCAAGTTGAGGAAATTCCCATCTATTCTTAGTTTGCTCAGAGTTTTTATCGTGAATGGGTATTGGATTCTGTTGAATGCTTTTTCTGCATCTATTGATATGATCATGTGAAATTTGTTTTTAGCCTGTCGATGTGATGAATTACATTTATTGATTTTCAAATGTTGAACCAACTTTGCATGCTTTGCATAAATCTCTCTTGGTTGTGGTATAATAATTCTTTTTATATACGATTGGAATCAAATTGCTAATATTTTGTTAAGGATTTCTGTATCTATACTCATGAGAGATATTGGTTGGTAGTTTTTCTTTCTTGTAATGTCTTTGTCTGATTTTGGTATTAGGGTAATGCTGGCCTCCTAGAACAAGTTAGGGAGTATTCCTTCTGCTTCTATTTTCTGGAAGAGATTGTAGAGAATTGGTATAATTTTGTCCTTAAATGTTTGGTAGAATTCACTCCACTCTCTTCGTGTTTGCATGATTTTTGAAGAGAAGTTGGATGTAATTCTTATCTTTGCGCCTTCATAGTAAGGTTTTTTTCCCCTTTGGCATCTTTCAAAATTTTCTCTTTATCTTTGATTTTTCTGCAGTCTGAGTATATGACAAAGTGTAGTTTTTTGGTATTTATCCTGCTTGGTGTTTTCTGAGCTTCCTGGATCTGTGATTTGTTGTCTGTCATTAATTTTTGAAACTCTCAGTCATTATTGCTTCAAATATTTCTTCTGTTCTTTTCTCTCTTTCTTCTCTTTCTTATTCCCATTACGTATATGTTACACCTTTTGTAATTGTCCCACAGTCCTTGGATAGTTTGCTCTTTTTCACTTGTCTTTCTCATGGCATTTAGTTTTAGAAATTTCTATTAACGTTTCTCCAAGCTCACTGATTGGTTTCCTCATCTGTGTCCTGTCTATTGATGAGCCTATCAAAGGTATTCTTCATATCTGCTATGGTGTTTTTGATTTCTAGCATTTCCTTTTGATACTTTCTTAGAGTTTCCATCTCTCTGTTTACATTAGCCATCTGTTCTTGCACGTTGTCCACTTTTTCCATTAGATCCCTTAGCATATTAGTCACAGTTGTTTTAAATTCCCAGTCTGATCATTACAACATCTCTGCCATATCTGAGTTTGGTTCTGATGCATGCTCTTTCTCTTCAAACTGTTTTTTTATTGAAAGCCAGACATGATGCAATAAAGATAAAAGAAACTGAGTTAAACAGGCCTTTAGTGTGGGAGTTTATGTTTTTCTGGCCAGGGGTTAAGCTGTGTTTACTGCTTGGTGTCAAAGGCAAAAATTTCCTCTGGTGTCCTTGTTTTTGTCTCCGCTGTTTTCTTTGGGTTTCTTTAGAGACTTCTCCTTAAATAAGATCTGAGACATCGCAGTTCTTTCCATTGTATGCCCCTGTTATTATACAGGAGCCCTACTGATGAGGTGGTAAAGTGTTGGGGGAGGGGAAGCATCATATAGTCCTATGATTAGGTTTCAGTCTTTTAGTGAGCCTGTGCCCCTGGGCTGTGATCTTTACAAGTGTTTCTCAGTTATGTTTTGTTTTGTTTCTCCTTCAGGTAAGATAGGAAGGCTAGAGCTGGCTGGAGTTGGGTATTTTTCTTCCTCCACATTGGTTAGACTCTGGTAAATCCCCTGTTAGGTATGCTCTGGTATAGTAGTTTCTCTTGAGGGAAGGCCTTTGTTAGAAGAAGCACAGAATTATATGGGCCTATTTCAAAATGGTTATTTTTTTGTCAGAAGTAGGAGAAGATTTTTCTCTAATCTTTGCTGAGAGAGTCTGGTAAGGCTCTTGGAGTCACAACTCACAGAAGTGTGGAGGCCTCCCTAAAACTGGATCCCCCTGGAATTTTTAACTATCAAATTTTTCCACACTGAGCCTCCAGCAATTCTTCAATTACAGATTAAGTTTTCCTATCCTGGTACTTGTTCTTGTGGAAGCTTCTGCTCTGGGCTTCTGCTTCAGTAAGTTGTGATTCTCTGTATCTGCCTGCCTGTCTCTCCAATTTTGCCCTGTGACCTCAATTCTCTGTTGGATCTAAGAAGAGTTGATTTTCACTTTGTTCAGCTTTTTTCTTATTGTGAGGTCAGGGGTGATGACTTTCAAGCTTCTCACATGCTGAACTGGAAACTAGAAGTCCTTTGCTTTCATTTTTCTATATTATTTCATTTTAACTGTGCCTTATTCATATTTTAAGGAGTTTGGGATGGCCTACAAAACTGATTATGTGCATGTTATTTAAACGGAAATTAGTTATGGCTATGAAAAGAATGAAGCAAGAATGCTGTTCATATTGCTATTATGGTTACTGTGCCTAAGCATTACACTGGACCAGGAATTTCCTGATAGTGAAATCAAAAGAGAGAAGTATCATAAGTTATATAGTTTCTTTACCTTGCTGAGTAAACGTACCAATTTTTAAGTAAAGATAATATTCTCCTGCTCCTAAATTCTAAAGTAAATTTGCCACATAGAACAAACAAGCAGAGCATTGAGCAACAGACACATAACAGATAATGTTTTCATCCACGTTCAGCAGATCCTTGTTATTTTATGTAGCCCTTTTTCAAAGTGACTTCCAGTAAAAACCAGCATTAATGTTTGACTCAGTGAAGGTAATCCTGAGAGGATCTACTTTAATATGCTCTAGATCTATATTAATATAACATGACACTAGGCTAGAACGTTTACAACTTTAGGGAAAGAATGGATGGCTTGGGAGTTCGTCTTCATTAAATATAACTTTTCTCAGCTGGGCTTTTGTAGTTGTTGGGTGTTAGCTGGGGCCCAATAAAGACACCACTTTTTGCCAACCACATTCTGAATTGACTGAAAAATAAAATATATCAGTCAGCAGATGGAGGTCACGAACATCGCCTTCATTGCTCATAAGGCTGATTGTGGAAAATGTGGTTTCTAAGTGTAAGCAAGTGGACTTCCCATGACTGATGAATCTACACAGTATCAGGCAGCATTAAACCAGGGAAGGCCCACCGCAAAGGGCTTGGGAGGAATAGAGAAGAATATTTGCTCTTTTCCCAAGTGAAAGTGGAGGAGTCGAGCCTGTGCACACCCAGTTTCTCCTTCTGACCTCCCCAGTCAGATTAGCTCACTAGGGCGGAGAGAAGCCAAGACGTTTGCTATTGCGATTCTTCTACTCTGCATGGGGAGTAGGGAAGAAGCATTCACAAAAGTGATATCTGAACAGGTGATTCAAAGCTCTACTCTCTGGCAAGAGCTTCGAAGCAGTGGCTGCTGGTTAAAAACATCTTCATAATATCAATAACATTTAGGATGTTATATCTGCATTTCTGTTATGAAAGTGGAGAGGCTGAAGTAGTTGGTCACTCAGATGGAGGGCCGCCCCACCTTGGCTCGAGCTGGTAGACAGGGTTACCTGTGAGCCAAACCAAAATCCTCCTCAAGATGCAGAGGCAAGTGCTTGATTGAGACTTCACACTTCTACGCCATAATGCATAAGCCAAGTGATGTTGGCTGGGAAAACAATGCACTGTCTGCTTTTAGGGCTGTAACGAAAAGTCAGTAATACCCAGGGAAGTACCAGATTCTTAGCAGCATAAGCTCTTGGTATGAACACTGGGCTGCATTAGCTGAAAAATGTATCCCCCCAGGTAACAAACACAATGACTTCCTGAATTAAGCAAACAGGGTATTTAGAGATCTGAGATAAAATTCATTTTTGGGATAGTTGGAGGTTTTGTGGAAAAATACATTTTATTTTAAAGGGAAAGATGAGAAATCAAGATAATAGATATATATAGGGTATACTTTCTGACTTGCTGCCAAAATATTTACCAAACTATGTCTTATTAAACAACTCGGTCATTTAATGGGTTAGGCTAATTGACCACAAATCATCAAGTTTTAGTGACATAGCTATACCACAAACAAGGGTTGGAAATCATGCATGGTCGTTCCAGAGTTGAACTTCAGCAGAGTTGCCCAGAGAAGAATCTCCACCTTTTGCAGTTTCCTTCCAAGGGTTCCACTGGGAGCTTGATATGAGCAGCTGAAAAGTGTGAGTAACTGTTAGCGCTTCCATTTCTCTCAGCAAAGGGATTTAATTAAACTCACTTACCCACGTAATTCACACATCTTTGATTGTTCTTTCTAAGCCCCTTTCAGTATTGCTTTGCCTGCTAATTGCAGCTTGCTTGGAGTGGAGGGGAAAGATTTATGCAGGATAAACATATTTAGTATTTTTTTCTTTATTTAATAAAGATGCAGCTGATAAACACATCCAGTAATTAGAGGAGACTGTGTATGTACACCATGGAAGAAGGAGATTTGGATAATAATAATTTCATAAAGTTAGTGAGAGTCACTATTATTATATACTTACTGGTTGATCATGAATTGAATTCTTTCTTCACATTTGCTGGGGGTGTCATAGGTTACATTGTTTCAGAATCTGCATTTGCTTCAAATTAAACTGAATGCTAAGTTCTTCACTAAGTAAATGCATAAAAAGGAAATAGGAGAACTGGCGATTTCTGCTGAATTTCAGTTATCTGTAGATCCTATTCATTGTCTCCAAACTTACTTACGTAAAGCCAGATTTTATACTATTCATCTACTAAAAAACCTTGATAGCTCTCTATTATCCACAGAATAACTCTTATAAAATCAAATTGGGTGAAAGAATTCAAGGCCTTCCATAAGTTGGCCTGATTTTCTCTCTCCAGAGACAAACCACTCTTATTAGTGTCTAGTCATACTAATCTATGGTTTTTCTTCAAACTCTGCATGTTTCCTTTATCTGCTCAATCAATTCTTTATGCAGTATAGCATAGTGGTTACAAGCACAGCCTCTGTGTTTCAAACTTTGTTCTACTGCTTAGTAGTTGAGCCATCTTGGACAAGTTTCTTAATCTATCAGCGCCTCAGTGTATGCATCAATAAAATGGACCTAATAATAACACTTATCTCACAGTGTCGCCATGAGAATGAAGTTAAATAATGCATATAGACTGCTTAGAACAGTGCTTGGCTCATAGCAAGCATGCAATAAGAATTAGCCATGACGACGATGATGATGGTGATGATGATGATGACGATGGTGATGACTGGAATGCCCTTCTCCAACATCTACTTATTAAAAATTTTACTCATTCTAGGTCAATTCAAATTCTACCCTCTCTAAGAAGCCATCCTTCCTGTCCCCATACTCCCGGTTGGTATTAGAATGGACTAAAACACACGTTGAAGAGTGATGGTATTTGGGAGAACTTAGTAGGACCATCTAGCTTCATGAATAAACAGACTTTTGACTGAAACTTTTGAGTTTAGTGATCATTAATGTAGGTTGACAAAGAGAGGAAGGCATGGTCAAGTCTGAGTGAAGAGGAGGATGAGATGATGTGAGATAGGAAAAGGCAGAGTATTTATGGGGAAATGTCATGAGTTTTTGTTTGGCTGTACCTGAACTCATCCAAGGGGAGATATGATTCTGATGCTGGGGAAACAGGATAGGGTTAGAGAGATTATCTCTAGCTGTATTGTAAAATTCTAGTGAACAGACCTTAAGAAATCTTCCATTTTCTTCCATTACTTGTCTTTTTTATTTTCATAAATACTTATGCACAACATATTTTTATAATAGTATCTTCTTTATGTTCGTAACATATTGACCTAATTAACAGGAGACAAATAAAATCCCTGTTTTATGGGAAGATGACTCCAAGAGGTTAAAAGAATGGCCCAGGTCTCAGACCATTAGCAGAGGAGCCAGAGTGTTTTTTTCTAGGTCATTGATGATCATACAAAATAGCATGGCCCTGATACACACTGTGTGGTGCTCTATTCAAGTCTAGTGAGCTGGATAAACCATGCTGTGGACTGCACTAATGCAGCCATGTTTTTCCTTTGGATTATCTGTAGTACCTCATCTGTATGTTCTTCACTCACTAGAGTAGGATTCCTGTGCTGCTCCAACACTTTTTCTGGCCTGAAAAGGTAAAGTCCCATTGTAGCCAGAATGGTTTGGTCCCACTCAACTGTAAGTAAAGGGGACCTTTGTCCATAGGCTAAGGACACTCTATTGAATTCCCTAATTAATCTCGGTAAGGCAGCCATAGCCAGTCCTGGTGGTCTAGTGGTTAAGATTCAGTGCCACTGCCCAGGTTCATTTCCCAAACAGGGAACCACACTGTCCGTCTGTTGGTTGTCATACTGCAGCGGCTGTATGTTGCTGTGATGCTGAAAGTTACGCCACAGGTATTTCAAATACCAGCAGAGTCACCCATGGTGGACAGGTTTTAGCAGAGCTTCCAGACTAAGACAGACTAGGAAGAAGGACATGGCCACCCACTTACGAAAAAATTGGCCATGAAAACTATGAATAGCAGCAGAGCATTGTCTGATATAGTGCTGCAAGGGGAAAGGATGGTGCAAAAAGACAAGGCAGGGTTCCACTCTGCAGTACACAGGGTGCTAGGAGTTGGAATTGACTCAATGGCACTAACAACTACAACAAAAAGGCAGCCATATTGAGTAGACTTATCCATCTCCTACTGAAATATGGAATTAATCTTCTACAAGAAACCCTATATATGGGCCCTCTGGGTGCACACAAATCTTCCTAATCTTGCTGTGTCCACTGGGCTTTCCTCTTGGTTTTCTTATTTGCACAAGGACCTGAGGCTTCCCTGAACTTCAAGTCAGTTGACCAAGGTTCTGGTGCTCTGCCTAGCTTTTACCATCGCTCTTCCCAGAGATTATGTCCCCCAGAAACTGGCTAAGATTTTGTTCTTAACCATATATACCACTAGCAACCATGACACCACCATGGTTCTGCTGCCATTCTCTACCTACTGAATTGGACCACCTTTCATGCCAGCACAAGCCCAGACCAATCATGGGGTCACTACACATTGGACTCTGCCCATTGGAGGCAATTCCATGCCTGGGTGAGTTTTCCATAGACCATCTCTGCCCATTGCAGAGTAACCTGCTACTGAGATCCCAGCATGCCTGGAGTTTGTACCTGCCCAAGACTCTGGAGCTGAATTTACCCCGTGGTCTATCTGACCCTGAGCTTTCCTCTCTAAAAAATACGTGGAAAGGAAATGAGATATTCCTCTATAGGCTGGTCAAGTATTTAGCAAGAGTCTGTCTCATTTTCAATACTTTCTATTATTTTATTTTAACTTGTCTTTAGTAAGGATGTATAATAACCTGTAAACTATTTTGGATGTAATAGTAGCTAAAAAAAATCCCAAAAACTATTTTCTAACATTCCAGGTATCTTCAGTTTTCCACAACTGTCATTGAAGGCTCTTTCTGATGGTTTTTAATTCTCTCTGTTGTTGTTGACAAGTGTGTCCCTTCAGCCATTTGCACTGTACAGCTAAGCTTGACAGACAGACTGAAGTTCTAGGCTTTGAGCTCCCCAGGTGGCTCAATAGAGACTGAAAGAGCCAACACAAGAGCTGCCATATGCAGGGATGTATGTCCCCACTGGGAGCACTACAACTAGGTACAGTGACTTTTTGCTTTAGAGGAGTCACCAAATCAAATGTCTATGACTTAGCTAGGGACTTTATTGCATTTGAAATGCAATGCTCAATAAACATTGCCACCTTTATTGTCCCTCATTATCATCATCATGAGTTGACATTCTTCAAGTATAAACCTACACTTTTGTGGATATTTCATTTTAAGAATATATTCTACATGAATAAAGTGCTATAGATGGGAAAGAATAACCTTGTAAGAGTGAATGTGTTGTAACTTTTTATGTACAGCTTTGGCTCAGAGGAGAAGTGAACCAAGCAACATGGTGGAAGGTGTCAAATTCAACCTACTAGAGGTGCACTGTGTGAAAGCCTGCTAGGATCTGGAAGGTGGACGGGGTGCTGTGCTCCCCAGCCTGCCCTCTCACTGCAGACCTGGAAAGAGAATTTAACTGTCACACAAGGGAGAAGGACAATGCACACACCTTGTCCAAGTTTAACTAGGACTTGCTTTGGTTGAGGAGAAATAGAGAGAAACAAACCGGGATATATTTATTAAAGCCAAACTGTATGGAGTGCTGCCCAGTGCTGGACACTGTGCCAGCCATGATATATACAGCAGAATTTCTATTCCTTCCAAGAACCCAGGGATGTAGGAGTTCTTATTGTCCTTTTTACAGATGAGGAAACTGAAGCTTAGAAAAAAATAACACACCACATAACATTAGCTCCTAAGCAGCACAGCTGAGTTTTCAAACATTTCTTCCAGAATAATAAATAAAACAAAGAAATGAATATCATTTGGAGGAGTCAGAGAGATCTCTGAAAATAACCTGTTGCAGAATTCAAAAGAAAATTCCAAAAGACTGCTTCTTCAATAGACTG